TGGGGTTGCATTGTCACGCACAATGCTTCTTTAAGACGGATTTGACGCCATGTCATGAATGGTGTCTCTATAGGTGATAGACCATGGGCTATTTTCTAGTTTTTCTCCCCTGTCCCTCCCAGGTGTGGATTCGGATCTGCTCTCTCTGAAGGTGCAGAACTCCCTTAATGCTGCTCGTGGGCCCACTCTGAACTCCAGCCCTCGGTGGGGAGCTCAGATTCTGGCTCACGCCTTCTCTCTTTCCCCTTAAATTTAGAGAAAATCATGTTTCCTTATTTGATTTCACTATTCTATATGATCTCTTGGCTCCCAAGAAATCGCCAACCAGGATTGCTAACTACTGAAGTACTAAGAAAATGTTGTTTCCTGCTTAAAAAATCTGGTGTCAGGGCCAGAGAGATAGTACAGAGGGCACAGTACTTGTCTTGCATGCAGCCGACCAGAGTTTAATCGCCAGCACCTCATATTGTGTCCTGGCCCTTGCCAGAAGTGATCCTTGAGTGCAGAGCCAGGATGAAGCTCTGAGCATAGCTGCGCGTGAATCCAAGACAAAACAAAACCAAAAAATCTGATGCTGAGAGATAAATAGTATAGTGGTTAGGGCACATGCCTAGTAAGCATATATGACCTGCATTCAATGTTCAGCACCACGTGGTCTCGAGCACGTCTGGGTTACAGGCGTCACCAGTTTTTCATCCTTGGGCTGTTGCATCAAACCAATGGTCTGGTTGGCTGAGAATCACAGGTAGAGCCCCCGGGCCTCCTAAGCACTTCTTGGGTGCTCCACCCTACCCCCCCCCCCCCCAAATATCTTAGTGATGAACCTATCTTCCTTGCTTCCCAGGTTAGATCTTTCAGGGTGGTTGAACTGAAGCCACCTAGGCACCATTCTGGACCTTATCCCCTGCCAATTCCCATTTTAGATTTGAGTTTCTGGTGACACATTTGAGTTTCCGATTTCTTGGCATGACTGATGTAATATTCCTCTTGGTGGTCTAAGATTGACAAAAGAAAAGAAAATAGCCAAACCCATTGATTCTTTGCCTCACCCAACCACTCTGCAGTTTTCAGCTCTAAGCAGGCCAGCAAGTTAGGGTGTTAACATGCTCCTCTGACCCCACAGCCCTCACTGGATGCGTCATACAGACAGACACGGGGAGCCTACGCTCCAGCAGGCAAGAGTGAGGGGGATGGGAAGGAATTCAAGGTCAGTGGGAGATGGGAGAGATTTTTGTGGGAGAGATTTCTTGGACGGTTATAGCTTTAAGGGGACTTTCTCTTAGCGCCAAATAGGAAAAACCCTGAGTGTCTACAACCTGGTGTTTGAAACAGTTTACATTCTCAGAGAACTCAGCTGCATAGCGGGGCATTGTTGACAGACCAACTGTGGACACAACCGTCTTCCTGTGATGTTTGAGCACAGGATTGAGTTTTTACTCTAATCTCAGGCCTATCCTGTTTCCAAGAAAGGTTGTAAATGTGCTATTCAGGGCCAGGAGTCAGCCAGAATTTTTTTTTTGGGGGGGGGCAAGTGTGGTCTGGAAGTGTGTAGGAGTGGTATTAGTTCTGGGATTTAGAAATAATATGTCCATTGTACATTATGTTTGCTCTGTGGTACTGTCCTCCCGTTGTTCATTGATTTGCTCGAGCGGGCCCAGTAACGTCTCCATCCTGAGACTTCTTGTTACTGTGTTTGGCATATTGAATACGCAACGGGGAGCTTGCCAGGCTTTGCCATGCAGGCGAAATACTCTTAGTAGCTTGCCAGGCTCTGAGAGGGGACGTGGAATTGAACCCGGACCCATCGGGTCGGCCGCGTGCAAGGCAAACGCCCTACCGCTGTGCTATTGCTCCAGCCCTATTTCTAAAATTCAAAGTGTTCATTATTTTTCTGTTTTTGTTCCCCTAAAGTGCTTTTATTTTAATTTGGTTTAGTTAAGTAAAATAGTTTTAAAGAAATTTACTCTGAGGGTTGGAGAGATAGTACAGAGGGTAAGATCCTTGCCTTGCACACAGTCAACCAGGGTTCAATCCCTAGAACCCCATTCGGTTCTTCCCAGCATCTCCAGAAGTTATTTCTGAGTGCAGAGCCAGGAGTAAGTTCTGAGCATCACCACTGTGCCCCTTGCTCTCCCTCCCCCCAAAAAAAGTAGTGATGGGGAGAAAGAAAATTTATTCAGAGAAATGTGAGGGGAGAGAAAGAGGATATGTATGGACCTCTCAAGAGGGGGAAAAGTCTAGACTGGCTTTTGGGAGAAGGCTATATATCATTTCTCCAAACCATCTTGGCCTGGAGCTCTCTGCGTGCATAGTTAATCTGCGTGTTGTTACTGGGAAAACCTTGGGCTCTGAATGGTCCTTTCCTATTTTTATCATGACCTTTTAGATTCTCCTGTAAAGTGCGTTTTTACTGCTTCCTCTCGGTGCCCTCCCTTGAGAAGGTTAAATGCTCTCCTGGCAGTGATGAGGACACAGGCAGTGAGAGGCTAATTGGCTTGCCCTGGGCTTTGGTGTGACTGCCGCTGTCCTGCCTGCTGTCTGCTCTGCAGAGCCCAACTCCCAGCTCTCAGCAGAAGATGGGGCTTCTTGTTCACTCCAGCGCCCAGAACGGGGCTTCTGATTCAGTCCTGTTCTTGCAACTGCAGTTTCAGTGCTGCCTAACGAGAGTCATTTCAAAATCCTGATGTAAGACCCTTCACCTCTAAACTATCTCACTGCCTTGAACTGAGCTGCTCGAGTGATGGGTGACAAGTCAATTACTTTCGGTACAGTTGCTTTATCGTGGCGGGTCCTTTAGATTTAAAATGTCAACCTGACCTCTACAAAAGGTTTAGAAATCGGATATCATTTCCCTCCTACAGTTCACATATCCAGGGGCTGAACAGGGGTAGAGAAATAGGCTGCCAAAGCATGGAAACATACAATAGACCATAGTCCAGGAATCCTGACTGCTGCCTCAGAATGAATTGTCACTATTCCTTCATCACCCGGAACAGCCTCCTGTGCACTTGATTCAACCTTGCAGTGAGGGGCTGGAGATTCGCTGCCTGGGCTTGGAATCTGTACATGGATCTGGATGGCACATGCTTTTCATGGGAATCCCAGCCCCCTATAGTGAGGGCTCAAGGCCAGACTGGCATGGCCTTCCTGTGTGTTACCTGCTCCAGGGATCCACACACTCATCTCCCTTGTATGGCTCTTTTCTTACTAGATGGAACAAGAAGGTCAACGGAAAGTGTGTGAAGTTCAGGATTCAGAAGACAAAGGAACAGGTTCCGGTGGTGAGAACTTTGAGGAGAGAGAAGAGGACCCAGAAGGAGAAATGGGCCCAAATGCACACACTGCAGACCAGACAGGCGCCAGCCCACAGGCTTCGAGAGAGGGCTCAGTGGAAAGGGCTCTGGAGTCTGGCATCTGCACAGGTGAGCACTGGAATTCCCATGAAAGTTGCCCCGTTCATTTTGAACTGCGCCAGTTCAGTGAAAATGTGGCACTACTTGGGTCTGCAGTGCAGGGGGGTTGGGGGAGACTTCAGGGCCACTCCTGGAGGGGTTGGAGGAACCATGTGGTGCTGGTGATCAAACCAGGGTGAGCCACATGGGAAGGCAAACGCTGTAACCTCTATACTGTCTCTGTGGTCTCAACAAGAGGGCATCTTAAACTTTGGCACTGTCAACTCCTTTTCTCACCTGAGACATTTTGACTTGACCCCAGGCATATGAACTTAGCATATCAATCAAACGGTTACTGACAATAAACCATGCATTTTGCTATTTTATTTTTATTTATATTTTATTGAATCACAGTGAGGTATAGTTACCACGTTGTTCATGAATGGGCTTTAGTCATATAATGTTCCAACACCTATCCTTTCACTAGTGGACATTTCTCACCACCAGTGTCCCCATGAATCATGCATTTTGAAGCGATTTTTTTCTTGAAGCGAATTTTTCAACCCCTCCCATTCAGTTTCGCAGCTCCATCCGATCAGGACCCACAGTTTCACTGCCACCGTGTAAGATTGTTGTCTTTGTGTGGGTGGTTCTGCTGGTGAGGAGGGCAGCTCTCTGGGCCTGTCCTGGATACAGAATTCTGTCAGTGACCTCTGGAGCCTGTATGACAGCCTGCCCGCTGGGTGGGCGGGGTGGTTTGAGCTGCTGCAGAGTTCTAAGTAGACACCTCCAGATATTTTTAGTCACGAACTTCATCTCTATGTGTAGACATGGTAAACTCAGTGGTAAATGAATCGCTCAGGTTTCCTGTGGCTCATTGACCCATTTCCACATTGGGGAAAGTGCCCACAACCTTTACTATATCTAGACCTGGAAAGTATAAACTCTGGGTCTCCACTCCTTTCTTGGTTCTCTCTTTTGGCATTCCTTGCTTTGTTTTGCCCTGGGCATGTCTAGGACGCAGAAATGAGCTGAAACTTTCGCCAGGACTTCAAGGTAACATTCCTTCCCTGTGACACATCCCAGACGTCCTGGTGCCCCCTCCCCCCCTGCAGTGACCAGTGTGTGGTCTCTGCTATCTCAGAAACTTTCTGGAATGCTCTCAGCTTGGAGGAGAACAGGTGTGTTATGAGTCAGCTGTAGACTCTGTGCTCACTTCCCCGTTCCCTGAAAGGCTCCCAGCCCATTCATGGTGAAGCATTCCAACTGGAGTATATTCAGCTTGTTCAGTAGAACTTAAACGGTTCCAGACTAACCAATTGGCTTTGTAAAAACCAGTGCAGGGGTGGACACGGTGGAGCCGTAGCACGAAGGGCTCTTGCCTTGCACGCTGCCAACCTGTGTTGATTCTGGCGTCCCATCTGATCCCCCAAGCCCGCCAGGGGTAATTCCTGAGTGCGCAGCCAGGAGTAACCCCTGAGCATCACTGAGTGCGGCCAAAAAGGGGTAAAAAAAAAAAAAGAGCAGGGATGCTAGACAGGACCCACGGCCTTTTTTGGTGGTTGGCTGCAGTGGCCCTGCCTTTTAGGCCACGAAAGCGTGGAAGGTATGGGTAACTCCGAGAGCGGGCAAATCTTCGAAGTGCCGCTGCACCCGGCCCAGAACTGACCCTGTGACGCCGCCAAGACGGGTCTGCCAAGGAGGCCTCAGGTGCCGTGGGCGCAGCAGAGAGCCATCCACCCGAAGGAGGAAGGCAGAGGGGCGAGCGTCCCCCAGCACCCAGAGCACCCCCGCCCCGCCTGCGTGTCTCCCTAGCAAGGAGGCCTGGTGGGAAAGAGACTGGGGTCTTGGGGCAGCCTCGGAGGGGCCCCCCCGAGCACGGCCTGATGCTCCTGTGCCTTTTTCCTTGCAGAGGGGTCTCCGAGTGAAGCAGGGGCCGCGGCCCGTGAGCGCGATCAGGACCCCCTCGAAGTGTTCCCCGGCTGCCCAGAGCCCGACCGCGCCGCCCGGAGCCCCCGGAGCCCCCCGAGCGAGGAGGAGGAGGAGGAGGAGGAGGAGGAGGGGGCGCATCCGCCCCCCGCCGTGCTGCCCTGGAGGCGCCACCTGGCCCTGGGCAGCGGCCGGCCCCGGGGCGAGCGGCCCGCGCACCGCCGCTTCCGCCGGCCGCACCCGCCCGTGGCCGCCGCCGTGGACCTGGGCGACCTGGACAGCCTGGTGGCCAGCCTCATGGACGCGCCCACCATCTGCCCGGACTGCGGCGAGAGCTTCAGCCCGGGCGCCGCGTTCCTGCAGCACCGGTGGCGCGCGCACCGGCTGGCCCAGGCGGCGGGCGGCGGCCCGGGGGGCGCGGGGCCGGGGGGCTTCCCGGCGGCGGCGGCGGCCAGGCCGGCGCGGGACAAGCCGTTCCGCTGCGGCGAGTGCGGCAAGGGCTTCAGCCGCAACACCTACCTGAGCAACCACCTGCGCCTGCACTCGGGCGAGCGGCCCAACCTGTGCGCCGACTGCGGCAAGAGCTTCAGCTGGCGCGCCGACCTGCTCAAGCACCGGCGCCTGCACACGGGCGAGAAGCCGTACCCGTGCCCGGACTGCGGCCAGGCCTTCAGCCTCAGCTCGCACCTGCTGAGCCACCGGCGGGCGCACGCGGCGGCGGCCGGCGGCGGCGCCCCGGGGCCCGCGGCGCCGCGGCCCTTCGCGTGCGCGCAGTGCGGCAAAGGGTTCGCGCGCCGCTCGCACCTGGCCAACCACCAGCGCATCCACACGGGCGAGAAGCCGCACGGCTGCGGCGAGTGCGGCAAGCGCTTCAGCTGGCGCTCGGACCTGGTCAAGCACCAGCGCGTGCACACGGGCGAGAAGCCCTACATGTGCTCCGAGTGCGGCGAGACCTTCAGCGTCAGCTCGCACCTGTTCACGCACAAGCGCACGCACTCGGGCGAGCGGCCCTACGTGTGCCGCGAGTGCGGCAAGGGCTTCGGCCGCAACTCGCACCTGGTCAACCACCTGCGCGTGCACACGGGCGAGAAGCCCTTCGGCTGCGCGCAGTGCGGCAAGCGCTTCGGCGACTTCTCCACGCTCACGCAGCACCAGCGCACGCACACGGGCGAGAAGCCCTACACGTGCCTCGAGTGCGGCAAGAGCTTCATCCAGAGCTCGCATCTCATCCGCCACCGCCGCATCCACACGGGCAACAAGCCGCACAAGTGCGCCGGCTGCGGCAAGGCGTTCCGCTACAAGACGCACCTGGCGCAGCACCAGAAGCTGCACCTGTGCTAGGGCCGGCCGGCGCGAGGTCTTGGGTCGGTCGGATGCCGCGGGGAGCAGCGGGCCCGGGCCGGAGGGACGATTGCGAGGGACGATTGCAAGCCTTCCCGTGGTGGTGGTGGTGGTGGTGGTGGTGGTGGTGGAGGTGGAGACGGGGTGTCCTAAAGGGGAAGCGAGCGCCAGCAGGAGTCGTTCTTTCGGGGGTGCTGGATGTGACCGGTCTCTCGCCCCCAGCCCCAAGCTGAGAAATGCTCATTGCATGAGCTGGTGACTTGTGGACTATTCCACACCGCCCCCGGGCAGAGCACGGAGGAGCAAGAGTCTTGAGGAGAGGGAGTTTGCGGGGTGGGGAGGACCGGGAAGGGGCTGCCTGCTCCGTCTGGGATGCCGTCCCAAGAGACGGTGTGCCAGGAGCGATAGCGCTCAGGTCCAGCGCAAGTCAAGGCCCAGTCTACACCCCCGGAGCCTGGCTTCAAGTGTTAAGCCAGTGACGGACCCCGCGTACCCACAGAGGTAGGGGGACGTTGTCAGGATGTTGAATACGCTCTTCCCGCTCGCTCAGTGGCAGCTGCTAATTTGGAGGCTCCGGGGCAAACTGGGCAGGCAAACTCTCACCCTCGCTTGAAAGGTGACACATCTTGAGATTTGGAAATTTACTCATAACTGGTTCTCTTAGGGAATTCCGGTCCTGGGTGTCGGCTCTTCTTTCCTTTAAAGTACTCAGCTTCATGCTGTGTGAAGGTGTCTTTGCGGAAGATCAGCCCCTGGCACCTGGTGGCCACTGAGCCCAGGATTTCCTGGTGGTCTCACTTAAGTGCAACTAGATGTGGTGATCCGGCTGTCTGGCTTCCCTTTCTCCAGCCTGGTGCATTTTCCCATCTGAACCCTAACCGTTGCCCTAGTGAGCTGCACCATAAGGCAACTGGCTTGGTGTTTTGCTGGCCAAGTGTGAGCAGTCCAAGAAGGCCCATCAGTGTTCACACATTGGGGAACAGTTCTCCCTTGTCTCTCACTTCCTTTCACTCTCTCTCTTTCCCCATTTGTAGTTGTGGGGGAGACCATTGACTCTCCAGCTCAATCCATGTCGATACTAGCTCTGGTCTGAGTAGAAATCGCTTTTCCTACGCGGGGAGGCACCTTATAATTCCCACGGCTTTTTACACAGAGAGGGCTCCAGTCAGGAGAGGTGGAAATGCAGATTGCCAAAATAGCACAAGCAATGAATGTCTCTGGTTGTACAACTGCCAAAAAGCACTTTTATGTTTGCAAAGTGCTTTATGTGTTTGAAGGATTCCTCTTTGTTCCTTACATCTTTGTAAGGCAGATCAGTGTTATGTTGTCTCCCCTGTCTTAGGGAAGGCCTGGGGGGACAAGGGGGTTGCAGGCTGTTCTGCAGTGATGGATTGTCTGACCTTTTGTGCCCTCCAGCTCAGCTGCTAGGAAGACTTACCTGTCGTGTTTTATAGGATAAGAGTGGGACACTGGAAATGTTTATGCTTGATAGAAAGTTTAAGACTAGTCAGAGGGCCAAAGATGTCCTTGCTGACAAAGCTGGTCTTTGTCATGTAGCTCGAGTGTTGGCTAGAGAGATGTTCTATTTCTAGTTGGGGGCTGTAGTTAGAAGACTCTTGTATAGATTCAGTGACTTGTGCCCGAATCCCTCCTAGGGTAGCCTTTAGAAGTTAGCGTTGTGGGGATAGGGATTGTTTTCTTCACTGGTGAGTGTTACCTTGTATTTTCCGTGGAAGCCTCTTCACAAACCGTTGGACACACTTGAAGAGAAAAAACAAAGAAATCAGCTACCACAAAACCACAAAGATTGTTTTTACACTTCTAGACAATTTTTCTGTGGATCCTGGTAATTTTATACTTGATCATTGTAGCAAAAATCCTCTCTGAGGACTTTAGGGGGAAAGCATGTTTTTGTCATTATAAAAACAATTCAGATTTGGAAAATTGCAGGCTTGTATGATGCCTGTTGCTCTTGCTTTTTATTCAGTTTCTTGTTATTGATCAATGCATATAGATTTTCAAATACAGTTTTAGAAGACACTGATTCCTTTTTATTTTATTTTAATCCTAAATAATGTGAGTGATGAGTTTATTCTGATTCCTAAAAGTCTAAACACAAAGCATTTAAGACTCAAGTGAAAATAATACAGCCGCTTTTTATTCCTTTGTGGGTTGTTTTTGTTTTTTTCCCCAGACATCTACCTCTTCTAGCTGTTTTAAGTTAGCTCAAGTGTATGCCTGAGAATTCTCATTCTGTTTCTGATCATTCTGGTTGATTAGCCCTTTGGGGGTTATTTGGCCTGGTGGTGCCATTACTATACTGTTGCACAGTGTCTGCATCAAGTATGTTCAGTATCAGCAGCTTCTGAAAAAGGGTTTCATGTAAAGAGAAGATTGACGCTCTTGTAAGGTAACAGTGTGAGTGGACATTTTTGCATTTCATTGATGTCTCTGTATTGCCATGAATAAGATAAAAGAGTCTTTTATCTTTTATACTACTCCAGCATTCCTTCTGTGAAGTACATCTCCCCCACTGTCCCGTCCCCCGACTCCCAACACAGTACATTTGAAATGTGATAACAGGGGCTAGAGAGATACTATGGTGCGCAGGTGCTTGTCTTGTGGGCAGCCAACCTGAGTTCAGTCCCCAGAACCCCACAGGATCCCCTGAGCCCAGTTAGGAGTTATTCCTGAGTGAAGAACCAGAAGTAACCCCTCAGCATCACTGGTGTGACCCCAAAACAAAAAAAATAAATGTGACTCCATTTTTACTTAAAATTCTTCAGGGAACATATTTGCAGTAAATTAAATGCTTTCAGGAACTGTTTCTTGTGTCTAGTTTTAGAAAAAACTCTTGAGTGTGGTTCACCCTTAAACATGTAAATCTGAAAACTCCTTTCACCAAAACCTCAATGGTGGTGAAGGCAAGTGTTTTGGTTGTTTCCAGTTGGGGGAAACCAGGGGAGGTGGTTGTGGTGGTGGGAGTATTGTCCAGGGCAGGAGCCATTACCCAAGAAGAACTGGAGCCATTGAAGGTAGGTTTAATGGCAGAGTTACACCTTGAGTTCTGAGCTGAAGGCGAAGAGAAGACATGAGCCTTGTGCCACATGGGCTCTTCGAGATGAAGAGGCGGTACATGTGTGAAAAGTACAAATGGAGAATCTGTTCATAGACAATCTGAGCTGTGTTTCTGACGTGTGTGCACATTTCCCTTCATTGTAAAGTTATGTCACAGTTGTTTGTTAAAATGGTGAATAATTTAATGATCCTAAAAGTGACAGGTTTGGTGTGAGTGTGTGCCTGTGTTTGTAAGCCTTTGCCTTATTTTTCTGGTGGCATTATTTAATGATGGTCTGTTGGACAGCAGCCTGGTGTCCAAATGCAGAGTGTTTGTCATTAAATTCATATCAGTCTTTTAAATCCATGTCATTCTTTATTTGTCACTCATCCGTGCGTGGAAGCTGTGTTCCAGTAGAGCAGGGGTCAGCAAACTACCAGACCCAGCCTGCCTGTTTTTGTAAACAAAGTTTTATTGGGATACCGTCCTAGCCATGTGGCTACAACTGACCTGACCTCTAGCTACTTTCTTACCAAAGCAGTGAGGTTGTGTAGCTGTGACACAAGATACATGACCCACAGTTTGCTGAGATGTTTGCTGCCTGGGTCTTTAGAGGAAGTTTGCTGAGTCCTGTGTCAGAATGTTCGGACGCCCTACTACACCGTCTTAGAGTTTATTCTAAATAGTGTGTCCATGCTGCTTAATAATCCTGTGCACCCTACTGCGTTAGTATAGTTTTGAAATATTGGGAACGTGTTCATATTATCAGGTTGTGTGTTTTCCAAAAATGTGCACCTTCATTCCTTGTAAGTCAATGTGTGAGAAATTTTGGTGGGAGGCAGGGGTTGGTTCAAGGGGAGGGAGGCAGCCTTCGGTCTCATCCCTCATCTTAGGGCATATTCCTGATGTCTGTATTCTGGGATAGGACTCAAGGCCCTGAATTGGCTCCCCACCACCTGCAGATGGCTCCCTCACCCCTCAGCCCCCCCGCCCAGTGCCCCAGGCCCCAGAACACCACCAGATGTGCCCTTTCCCAGATGTGCATACTAGAATCACATAGGTGTGATATATAAAACATATGCATTTTCCCGTGTTCTCAGAAAGCTAGTTTTTGTCATGTCAGTAATGCAACAAATAAGAATGAAAGAATTTATTGCTTAAGATAAAGCTTAAGCTACTTTTGCTTAAGATACTAGTTGATGGGTTTCAGCCTAACCTCATGGAAGCAGAAAGACAGTGGCCTCTAAAGAAGGGCTTCTTAAGGAATCAAAAAGAGGAAGCATGAAAAGCACTTTTTTCTTTAATTTTGATCACCGCAATGACTTTGCTTTGTGAATGTCCACAAACTCTCTCCCTACTTCACAGAGAATGCCAATGCTGGTCATGCCTGGAGAGAGAGAGAGAGAGAGAGAGAGAGAGAGAGAGAGAGAGAGAGAGAGAGAGAGAGAGTGTGTGTTGCTGCCTGTACTCACAGCACCCTCCCTCCCTCCACCTGATTCTTCCAGTTTGAGGCAACTACCAGACTATGTTCATGAAATGCCTGTTCATGGTTCCTGGGAAACCTTTAGGTGTCCCTGGGAAAGAATATGAAGTCAAGCATTTTGTTTGTTTTGGGGTAACACCTGGCTAGTGCTCTGGGCTTACTCCTGGCTTTGCACTCAGGGATCACTCCTGGAGGTCGTTGGGGTCTATTGGGAGTGTTGGGAATTAAACCCAGCTCAGTACATTGGAGGCTAGTGCCTTATCCTCTGTACTATCAGCCCCCGAAGTCAAGCATTTGAAATACTTGTTCAGTGCCCTGTGCGGACCCACCTGTGGTTTTGGGGGCTACCCCAGGGAGAAGTGCCTGCCTTAATTTGTTATTGAACCGAGCCTCTGTTTTTGTTTCCAGCTAGAGAAGCTCTCTGCGGTCAACTTTGGAACTTTCTGGGCCTGCATACTG